TTCCCGTCCCGTTCTGTCTCCTTTCCCTCTGAGTCCAAGCCATCCGGAGCTGCCTTTTTCTTCACTTAAACTCACAGAGGCTCTTGGAGCAAAGGGAGGGTCAGGGCAGCTCACCTGGGGGCAGGAAGAGCGTGGCGCGCACCCGGCCCTCGCGCACGGGCACGCGCCGCACCCCGGGAGCCAGGAAGTGGCGCTCGTGCCCCGCCTTGGCCAGCAGCCGCCCGCCGTCGGGCTCGTGTCCGTCCAGCACGTCCAGCTCCAGCACGAAGGGCGTCTGCACGTCGCGCTTGACCAGGCGCCAGAAAGGCCGCTCGGGCTGTATGGCCCAGAGCAGCCCCATGGGCTCGAGCCCCGCGAAGCTGCCGCCCAGCGCGGGCGCGCGCGCCAGGTCCAGCTGGCCGTGGGCATCGGCGCGGTAGCGCGCGTGGGCGCGGAAGAGCGCGCCCTTCTCGTCGCGCAGGGCCGCGCGCAGCGTGACGGGCTGCCCGGGGGCCAGGCCGCGCACGGAGATGCCCAGCGGCTCGTCCCAGCAGCTGCGGCCCGCGGGCTCCAGCACCAGCGTCGCATTCGCCCGCGCCCACGTCGTCCGGCCACCCGGGCCGAGCGGCAGAGGCCCTGACAGCCACGCCCAGCTCTTCCAGCCGTATCGGCACAGCCTGCTTCCCCGCAGGACGGCGAGAGAAGAGGCCACCATTTTGCGTCTTGACTTCAACCCTCAGTTCTGCGGAAAGAGTCAGAGATCCTCTAGCGGCCGGCTGCTCGCCTGCACTGTGTGTGTCCTTAGAGCCGGGAGGATCAGAGCCTGTTAAGCAACAAAAGCAAAAGTGAAGACAGACTTTGACTAAGGCGTCGCTTATATCCGGAGCCCCCCTCCTAGCATTGTTCTTCAGGTGTTCTTTGCCCCGTGAAGAGTGGGCTGGACGAGGGCTCGCTCTTAAAAGTCCTCTCGCCCCATGCCACCTCCAGTTCGCCAAATTCTTAAGGTTACGGACTCAGGAATGTGAGATTGCAATTGGGTTTCATCACTCTCTGGAGTAGTGGGCGCTGACTAATCATTACCAATCTTAGGACCGTTCTTTCAAAAATGTGCACTATGGTGTTCTGTTTGTGTGTGTGCTGTCTGCGCGTGCTTAGCCTACATGTAAGTCCCAGTTCCAGTGGACTTAGTGTCTCATGGGCTGTATGACCCTTTACCTGGATTCCGTACCGAGTGAAAATAGCCAAATGATGTCATAGTTATTCCTTTTTATCTCGTGCTCTCCTTGTGGCCCGCTAGGCAAACACTATTTTCTGCTCATCCTAGACTTTACACATTTCCCAACTGTTTCATAAACTATTGTTTCCAACCACAGATGGATCTGTTTTTCTTCCAAGGCCTTGAAGGTTCGTAGTAACAAGAATAACTGCACATCTTTGTTATTACAGACACCTGACACGATATAAGCTGTGTTACTACTGTGTTGGTTTCTGTTTCCTTGGCCCAAACTAGAAACACCTTGAAACAGGGAACCTCAGCTGAGGAAATGGCTCTATTATATTGGCCGGGTGATGTGGGAGGGTCCAGCCCACTGGCAGCAGCATCTCGGGGTGGGGAGGGCTCTGGTGCTGCCCCTGACCTGGCATCTACACCCCAGAGCGGATGGTGAAGGCTGGCTTCATACACTGCCCTACTGAAAATGAGCCGAACTTGACTTTTTTTTTTTTTTTTTTTTTTTCTGCTTTAAGGAGTTAGAATGCTGGGAACCAGGTGACAGCCTAGCAGGGACCATGAGAAGCACTCACCTGGGGGTTTCTTCTTTACTGTCAAGAAGCAGTTCAAAGAACTTGCCTTCGGTGAATTTTTGAAAATGGGCAAAGCGCGAGCCAAGAAGAAAATTGCAAAGGAGACCAAGAGCAAGCTGAAGGAATCTGAAGAAACTGTGACGGCTGACTGACCGCTACTCCACTCAACAGCTGGTTGCCTGGCAGTGAGCCTTTGCTGGGGCAACCCGGACCTGAGTGACCTGCCACATCTAAGCCACATGTCCCAGCTTTCCCAGCGTGGGCCTTTTAGCAGGGCTTTAGAGAAGGAGACATGGTATTTTGAAACTGGATATTAAATATTATATTTGGTTTTAGTTTGAAAAAAAATTTAAAAGGGTCTGCCTGTGTGGCCCCAGGTGAGCCTCCCAGTCTTTGCCTGCTCTCTCTCTCTCTCTCTCTCTCTCTCTCTCTCTCTCCTGTAACTGGGAGTAGAACTATTAGATCACACAGTCATTCTGTTTATTTCTTGAGCATGTTCAACAAGGTTTCAGTCTTTTAGTTTTTCAGAAGTCTTGTGTCAAGTGTAAGATCAGGCGGCAGCGATGTTTGTTTCTTGGGTCCATTGACTCAGCAGTCTAACGGCAAAGGGGGACGCGCAAATGTCTTCTCAAAGCGGCTTCATTCCTGCCGTGATGGTTTCAAAAATAGATAGAGCGCTTTTTGGCTGGGCCTACTCACTGTTAATACTGTTCCTGGATTAAG